GTCCGTATGTATGCTTAGATCTTTAAAACTACGCAACGGATTTTGATGCGGTTTTTTTTAATAGATAGAGTGATTCTTAAGGAAGGTTTGTATGTATATACATATTGCACCCGTGCGAAGCCGGGGCGGGTCGCTAGTAAACAATAAACTTTTACGGTCACTTATGCGTTTGATATCCACCTACGACCTTACACCCTGTACAATCAGTAATACTTTGCCCGACCCTGGAATCGAACCCGAGGTCGCACATGCAACTTATTATGTATGAGCATTTTCCCATTACGATCAAAACCGATGAAGAGATTTGTTCCGATAGTACGGCATATGTTATGGAGAGCTTTATTTATTTCCCACTCTAGCCGGATCGCCAGTCTGTTATCGTCGGCTGAATGATACGGTTGCCTTCGTCTGGCGCGTTTAAAAAGTTGGCGGGCAGGAAAGTGTGAAAATATTTTTTAATCTGTTGTTTTTTGTGATATTATAAAATTGATTGATGGCATTGAATTTGCAAAATTATTTTTGTTTTTAAGTGTTTTTTTTTCTTGTTTCTGTGTGTTGTTCCCGAGTTTGGAACTTTGGTAAGTAAGTTATGGTAATATCATTAATTACGTATCAGGTCGTTTATAATTTTATTTTATTGGTGTTTTTTACTTAGGTATATTTTAACTTAATATTTTTATTGATAGTATTAATTAAAATACTACTCATTTAAAACTTGTTAATTAATTTTACGTTACTCATTATTATTATCAGCACATGAATTTTATGACAGTGTATGAAAATTAAAAAATGTAATTAGTCCGTCAGTTAGACAATGAAAAGTGTTAGACACGTATTTTTTATTTTGAATACTTAGATAAAACGGAGTTAAGTTTAGGAGTGGGAGGTCGTTAGAAAGAAATAATGAAGAAGAAGGAAAAAAAGTATTTCTTCGACATGCTACAGTAGGCACGCTTACAGATACAAAAACAATACAAAATTAAAAACAAAAAGAAGAAATAAATACAGATAGATACTTATACCTACTATAGGTAATATAGAACAATAATGATAAACAAAGAAACCACAGAGTATAACAAAACAGTGACAATTACAATAATAACCCAGAACTGCCAATAAAAAACTGTTGAAGGTAAATCCTCCGCTATCGTCGGTCGCCGGTGACCCCCATGGCGTTTAACGTATTAATTATTAATAAAACAAGATATAAATTACATTTATTAAGCGTGTGCCCTTTCCAAAAGGGCATCGCAGCAGTAAGTTGGACCTACATGCCTAACGCTGATTTTCAGATGGCACCCTGTAGTGGTAGCGGTATCGGCAGCGGTATGTCACGCTACCCTATATATTTATGTAGTAAATCATGACGTCACGTCACACGACATATTTTGAAATCAATATATCTATTTATTTATTTATTTATTTATTATTGTGATGTTAACACGGCTTTACACCAATTACATTAACACACATACAAAGAGAAATCAAAGAGAAACAAACAGTTACATTACAATAACAGAAAAGAAGAGAAAAAAAAAATTAAACACATAAATAAACATCACAGTAACATATCGTCGAAAGTATGTCGCGGAGAACCTAACGGGTAACCGGGGCTCCGGCTCGACGTGCAGGAGAAGGAACGGGGTGGTTTTTAGTCAGTAAGAGTCTGACACTCCCTCCCACCTCACCCAGGCGGGAGCAGTCATTCGATGATTTTCTCCCCTTTAAAAAAAAAATCGTCGAAAGTATTTAATTTTGAACAATAACAAAAATACGTGTCTAATGTATTAAAATAATCTACTAGACGAACATTAAAATTATAGGTAAGTAAGTAGTAAAATGTAAGAAGCTAATTCAAGTTATAGCGGCAGAATCCCGTGAATCTTTATTGGCTGCCACCGCCTTGACACGAGTTCATATCGACTCGTTTTTAATGTGTAAGAATTGAGCTTGAAATTCATTTATTTAATAAAGTTATTTAACCTTCCCTGTAAAACTAGATCTATTGAATTGAAGGTTCGTGGCCTTTACGTATGGTAAATTCGCGGATGTGCACCATCCCCGACGATAGGTAGGTATTTTATTCAAAACTATAATAATAATAATACGACCACTCGGCCAACGAGGCAGTCGAATATAGAAATGTGACCGGTATTTGGCAATAGACCGTCACCTCACCCCTTATTACATGGGACTCATAAAATTGGGTGTCACATTGTACAGTGACATTAAATGCGCTAATGTGCACCTCTGCCTACCCCTTCGGGGATAAAAAGGCGTGATGTTATGTTATGTTATTTCTAGACTCCGTGATACTTCTGAGATTTAAAAAAAAGCAGTAATACTTTGCCGCAAGTCGAAAAACATCATAATTTAAAAAGTTTACGTCTCAGCTCAAGAAAAAAAAAATCGTGACAGCTCAGTAATATACATAATATCTGTTATCATTTCACAGACATAAGTTAAGAAATTTCTTTCATTAATACAACGTCTTCATGAAAATCCATAATCTTGATAACTTTTCTATGACAACTTTGTACATTGTTCGTAACTTCAGAAAACACTACTTAGGCACTTTATAAGTTCATACTTATTAGTACTTATTCAACTGAATTGTTTTTGAACATTATTAATCAAAAATAGACCTTGTTCAACATGTGTACAATTTGAATAAGTTCTTTCAAAGTTAAAGTCAAAGCATTTATTTCAGTTAAACCATAATTTGGTACTTTTGAAACATCAACAAATATAAAATCAATAGTAGTCTATGATTCTGTCCGTCAGTGAAGCTAGGTGCTCGTTTCAAATATAGAAGAACGGGCAAGAAACTCCATTCGCTTTTTAATCTTTCAGTTGCTTCTCTTATGTCGGAATACTGAAATGTTACTCAATTTTAAGTCGCGTTTAAGTATAGTTCTGTCGCCAGGGGTAGACGACTAATTTTTATTTTAATGTCCGTCTGGTAAATTATTTAAAAACATTAGACACGTATTTTTTATTTTCTTACGGAAACGAATAGTTTCGAAGATATATTGATTTGAAATGTCGCGTGACGCACTTCTCAGTACATTTTATACTAAGAAATGACGTTTTAGCCCCCACTCCTAAACTTTGATTCGTTTTATCTAAGTATTGTTTTATATACAACAAAATAAAAAAATACGTGTCTAATATTTTTTTATTACCTAAGTTACGGACTAATTATATTTTTAATTTTCATACCCTGTCATCATCCCCATTCTTTGTAAAATGACAGAGATGGCACGATATTTAAGCACGACTTAAAATTGAGTAACGTTTCAGTATTCCGGCATTAGGCCTGCCATACATAGACTCTCGAGCTACCCAGTGATAAACATAAATGGGTCGCGTTTTAGATAATATAACGCATCACCCCTTGTATCCCCGAAGGGGTAGGCAAAGGTGCTCATACTTTTCCCTATTTATGGTATGAGTTACATGTGGGTGAGCTTATTCCCATATTTTTTATAAAGTTTATTTAGAAAACCGACGTCAAACCCCTCTTTTTTGAAGTCACTTATAACCGTTCTACTAATCGTAACAATTTTTTTTTCTGAAAACCACATTCAAATCGATTCAGACCTTCGCGAGATAAACGCGCGCAATAATACATACAGGTCAAAAAGAGTATCTCACCTCTTTGTTTAAGTCGGTTAATGAAAGTTAACGCTAATTCTGGAAATGGTTGCTTTTCAAATAAATTTAAACAGAGCAACAATTTTATTATACACTGCACGTAGATATGATGAAGCTAATGAACGTAGAGGAAAAAAGAAAAATAGTGTAGTAGCAGTCTGTGCTATTTTTATTCATTTAGGATCATTAACAAAGATACATTTAATAGAAGGCTAAACATTTTTTACAATAAATATTTAACGTAATGTACCTATCTTCAATTATAGGTAACCTCGAATTACACAATTTTACGAGTTAAATTAGTTATTATAAAAACATATTGCGCCGTCTTCACTATTTTTAAAATTAGTTTTTGGTGTTATTGTTAATCAGTTTTTATTCCTTTCTTTGTTTGTTTCTTTCATATTATACCTAAATCATAATAATTATAATGAAAAAAAAAATTGCATAATTAATTAGAATGAAACAATTAATAAGTAAAAGTGAATTAAAAACATAAAAAAATAAGACATGTAACGCGGCAATTCGATTTCGGTTTGTGTCGGACGCACGCACGCAACTCTAGTGGCAACACGCCACCTCACTATTCCTCTTCCTTCGCTTCGCCGGCCCGCCAGCCCGCCAAGGCCGCTGCCACTGACCGCTTGACGCTTGCGTAGAGCGTTATAGAAAAACGAGTCCCGCGTCGGAGGCGTGACGCACGCGCCCCTTATTTATAGGTACTGAGTTTTATTCTATTGTATTATTGTGCAACTTTGTTTAGTTTAAAGTTTTTTTATCCAATATACAAGTTTACAGTCAATTGTGTGTCGGAACTTCATTCCACGCCCCTGAGAACCCAAGGCGACTAAGTTTAAATGTGACGCCCAACTTGCGGCCACGACCGACCTGTACATAAAAACCTAAAATTACGACAACTTCTAGTGTTCCTATCGTGCAAACACATATTGTGAACCTTCTCCTATAGTGCAATTACAAAAAACCTATCGTAAAGCCAGTGCAAATACGAAAGTGAAAACACTTGGGCGAGTCCATTTTCCGCGTGCCGCCGGTTGCGTCTGTAGGTATATATATACCTACCGACACGTTGAAGCTGCCATCCTCAATATCATCACCCGTGCTCTTCGAGCGAGTAATAGTTGGAATTGCCTGTTATCATGCCGCCGAAGAGAAGAACTGGAAGATATGAGGGATCGGATAGGGGCCGACACAGATGTCGATGTGAACAGAACCGTGATATTGTCCCCGAATATTACAATGTTGGAAGACATTCTAAATGCTTTATTCTCCAACATCACTAGGAGTCAAGTGGAAGTAAACAGAGTTCTGATTGAAAGTATTTTGGCGGGAAACAAAAACCCGTTGATTGTGACATCGCCGCGCGCTGAAGTCGCCGACGCATGCGCCACACGCGCAAGTTTCGCGAAATCCACGCCATGCACGGCGCCTGCCGATGCTGCACGTAGTGGACCGACGCCCTACAACGACTTCGAGGGATGTTTGGAGTGTCCCCACGCGGTTATTTATAAAATACTCCGAGGCATTTTCGCTACCGAACAAAATTGTGAACGGGCCGACGCGACGTACCTATGTATTTATAAAGTGCGCGTTTTGTTACCAAAATTACCGTACGTAGTACCGGAGATAATGAAGTTGGACATTGCATACAGGTTGTTAGATCGTAGGATTAGAAAACGCGTGTGTCGTGATTCCGTCGACGGGCTGGAGCAAGTCATCGCTAAAGTCAAGTTAGTCGAGTCGAGGAGTCACTGGCGGAGGTAAGTTCTCCCATTCTTAATAAAAATACGAGTTTTGTTGACTCGTGCGCTGCGCGTGACCGTTCTCAGTTCTCACATAATCCCCAGTCCTATCTTTTCCAATACCGTCGCCGAACTCGTAAGTTCGAAGTCGTCATGTAGCG